TCAGGATTAACTCTGGATTATTTCAGGATTAACTCTGGATTAGCTCAGGATTAACTCTGGATTAGTTCAGGATTAACTCTGGATTATTTCAAGATTAACTCTGGATTAGGTCAGGATTAACTCTGGATTATTTCAGGATTAAATCTGGATTAGGTCAGGATTAACTCTAGATTAAGTCAGGATTAACTCTGGATTATTTCAGGATTAACTCTGGATTAGTTCAGGATTAACTCTGGATTATTTCAAGATTAACTCTGGATTAGGTCAGGATTAACTCTGGATTATTTCAGGATTAAATCTGGATTAGGTCAGGATTAACTCTAGATTAAGTCAGGATTAACTCAGGATTAGCTCAGGATTAACTCTGGATTAGCTCAGGATTAACTCTGGATTAGTTCAGGATTAACTCTGGGTTATTTCAGGATTAATGCTGGATTATTTCAGGATTAACTCTGGATTAGCTCAGGATTAACTCTGGATTAACGCTGGTTTATTTCAGGATTAATGCTGGATTATTTCAGGATTAACTCTGGATTAGGTCAGGATTACATCTGGATTAGGTCAAGATTTTCTCTGGATTAGGTCAGGATTAACTCTGGATTAGCTCAGGATTAATTCTGGATTAGCTCAGGATTAACTCTGGATTATTTCAAGATTAACTCTGGATTAGGTCAGGATTAACTCTGGATATTTCAGGATTAACTCTGGATTATTTCAGGATTAACTCTGGATTATTTCAGGATTAACTCTGGGTTATTTCAGGATTAATGCTGGATTATTTCAGGATTAACTCTGGATTATTTCAAGATTAACTCTGGATTATGCCAGGATTAACTCTGGATTAGCTCAAGATTAACTCTGGATTATGCCAGGATTAACTCTGGATTAGGTCAGGATTAGCTGGATTAGCTCAGGATTATTTCAGGATTAACTCTGGATTAAGTCAGGTTTAACTGTGGTTCAGGATTAAGTCGTGTCCTGCTGGTCCTCAGGTGGTCATGATGGCGCTGGTGTTCCCCGTGTCCGGCTCAGATTACGACTTTGATGCAGTCCAGCCCTACTTCCTGTCCGGCGAGGAGGAGGAGGAGTTCTACCCGCCTCCACGCAGCCAGCTCCTCCCAGGTCCAGGTGAGGACATCTGGAAGAAGTTTGAGCTCCTGCCGACGCCCCCTTTGTCCCCCAGCCGGACCCCGCCTCAGTCTGAGACCTCGCTGTCCTCCGCGGACCACCTGGAGGCGGTTTGGGACCTCCTGGATGAAGACCGTAGCTCCTCCTCCTCGTTCCTGCAGTCCTTCATCATCCAGGACTGCATGTGGAGCAGCAGCTTCGCCGCCGCCACCAAACTGGAGCAGATGGTGTCAGAGAGGCTGGCGAGTCTCCAGACCCACCGGGACTCCAGCGGGGTCTCGGACCTGGTCCCTGGTCCTCAGGTGAACACAGAGTACCTGCAGGACCTCCACGCGGCGGCGGTGGCCTGCGTCGACCCGTCTGCTGTGTTCCCGTACGTCACGCCGGCAGAGAGACCGGGACAGGAYGACGAGACGATGGAGGCGGAGTCAGAGCTGTCTGTGACGTCCCCGCCCCTCAGCAGTGACTCAGGTGGGAGTCGGGCTTTTATTTTGAAAAGCTCATTAACTCTTCTCACATGACTTTAATCTCGTGTTACAACGTCTAAATGTTTTAATCCAGATTATTTGTTGGTCAGGATTAAAAGTTTTCTGCTGATTGTTTTTTATCAGAAGAGGAGGAGATTGACGTGGTGACGGTGGACAGGCGGGGGACGTCCCGGCGGTCCGACGCCTCGCCTCTGATACTCAAACGAGCTCACATCAGCGTCCACCAGCACAACTATGCCGCCCCGCGGCCTGCTGGGAAGCGGCTGAAGGCGGAGCTCCCGGCGAGGCGCTGCTGGAGCCCGCAGTCGGACGGCGAGGACGAGGACAAGCGGCGGACCCACAACGTCCTGGAGAGGCAGCGGCGGGACGAGCTGAGGAGGAGCTTCCTGTCTCTGAGGGACCAGGTCCCCRCCGTGGCCCACAACCTGAAGGCAGCCAAGGTGGTCATCCTGAGGGAGGCGGCGGCCTTCGTCACGCAGGTCAGAGAGGAGGAGGAGAGGCTGCTGACGATGAAGGACACGCTGACGAAGAGGAGCAGAGAGCTGAGACGAAGGCTGGAGCAGCTCAGGACTTGATGCTAACCGTTAGCTTTTATTTATTTGTTTATTTATTTGTTTACACGTTTTATTTATAAGAATGATGTCAGAATCTGAACAACCGTCTGGTTTCTCTCAGTCAAAACTTCTGGTGTTTCAGTTTCTTTTGAAATTATTTATTTTAGTTTTATTAAAAGAATCTTCAGAGGAAGTAGCTGCAAACCTGTCAAAATAAAAGCCCCTCCTGATGTTACCGAGTTTGTTTTCTCCCTCCTGACAGCTCATCTCTTCCCGACTTATCGGGTCGGTTCTGATTCACTCCAGAGGAATTTCCTGTGAAAGTTCTGGGATTCCTTTGGGACGTTGAGCAAACGGAACCTCCTCAGACTGGTCCGTGTTCTGATTGAACGGATCCAAACCGGGCCTGGGACCTTTGCACACGTGGTCCGGGAGTGTTGGACCYGACCCAGAATCCTGAGGAAAGAACTGGGTCAAAGTTCAGCTCCAACAGGGAGTAAAAAAAATCTGCTTTTTACTGAAGTTTTAAAGTTTTCTGTTTCAAACAGGAAACGCCCACATTTCCTGTCAAAATAAGAGCTTAAGATACAWAAATCTGGGTTTTCAGAATAAAACAAACCTGTTGGGTCTGAACCTCTCAGTAAAACAAGAAGCAGCTGCTGAGTCAGAACTACAGTCCAGACTGCTGAGTCATGCTCAGAGCAGCTGGACCGGGTCAGTCCACGATGAGTCAGCAGTTTCCTGTTCCTGTCTCCATCAGAACCTTGGTCCAGATTCCTGAAAACCCTGATTTGACCCTTTGTGTCCAACGGGTCTTTATCATTTATGGACCTGATCGTCTTTAACGGGTCTGTAGGTCCAGGTCCACCGGCAGGTCTTTAGACCCTCTGTAGGTCCAGGTCCACCGGCAGGTCTTTAGACCCTCTGTAGATCCAGGTCCACCTGCAGGTCTTTAGACCCTCTGTAGATCCAGGTCCACCTGCAGGTCTTTAGGCCCTCTGTAGGTCCAGATCCACCTGCAGATCTTCAGTCCCACTGTAGGTCTTCAGTCCCTCTGTAGGTCCAGGTCCACCTGTAGGTCTTCAGGCCCTCTGTAGGTCCAGGTCCACCAGCAGGGTCCGGGGGTCTGGGTTTTGTCTCCTGGACCTAATACCTCTGAGACCTGAGCTCAGAGAGATCAGGAGGAACTTTTAGTTGCGTATTTCTTCAGATTATTTTGTTCTGCGGGATTAAATCTGTTAATCTGGGTTCAGATTAAATGTTGRACTAAAGGACAAACTGCTCCAGGTTCTGGTTCCACATAAAGTCCTGATCCAAACCTCCTGATCTCAGCTTTAGAACTGAGATGGAGCAGGAGATCCAGTCTTTGTCTCACCCTGACAGACTGGAGCAACGCCTCCGTACTGCAGACATGAAGGAGCTCATCAGAACCTGACAGAACCTCATCAGAACCCTCAGAACCTCATCAGAACCCGACAGAACCTCATCAGAACCTCATCAGAACCCAACAGAATCTGACAGAACCTCATCAGAACCTCATCAGAACCCAACAGAACCTCATCAGAACCTCATCAGAACCCAACAGAACTGTGCTGCAGACATGAAAGAGCTCAGAGCAGAACTAAAGTCTCGGTTTTGTTGGAACCACTAAAGGTTCTTCAGGTTCTTGTTTGGGTCCAGGTGGGTTCTTCAGAGGAACAGAAGCATGTCTCAGACCCACAACAATGTGACGGTTTCTCCTGTGAACTCATGGAAACACAACCCCTCCCTGCGGTCGGAGGTCTGCTGACACAAAAGGTTTCGGTTTCCGCTCAGGTCCACGTTCAGGAAAACCCTGAGGGGGTGTGGGGGGACTACAGACCCGTGAAAACCAGACCAGAACCCAAAGCAGCTGCTGCCTGATCCAGATGTGCTAAATTTAGGTTCTGTTTAAAAACTGGAACGATGAGAAGACCCCGCTCTGCTCAGATTACAGATTAAACACCTGGAGGGGCTCATGTGGGTCTGCAGGACCACCTGGACCGCTTTGTCCTCCATGAAATGTAGCTGATAAACAGAAACAGGGTCAGGTTTGGTTTCTGGGTCTTCCTGATCCTGATCCTGATCCTGATCCTGATCCACCTCTAAATATAAGAAATTTTAAAGCTCTATCAGACACTTTCAGTCAGAAAGCTTCACAACATATAAACAGAAAACTGAACAACAACTCAACAAACAGGAAGCTGTAAACCCTTTCAAAGTAAAACTGAACATAAAATAAGGTGAAGGATTCATTAAAACAAGACAGGAAGTTCCTCCAAGAAACTAAAACTAAAAACAGAATCAAACAGTCAGGAAACAGTGAGAGTGTCAACATGAGTCGCACACACAGTCACACACAGACACACACACAGACACACACAGACACACACACAGACACACACAGACACACACACAGACACACA